AGCCGATTTTTATGAGCCATACCTCATAGAAAGCTAAAGAAATTCTCTTTAAAAAATTGTATCACAAATTGACAAATGTCAAAAATTGAAGATGGCGGCGCTATACAGGGCGTCCCTAAAAATTTTTAGTAAATATAACTCAAAATAGTTCAAAATAAGCCGATTTGAAGTAACTCACCTCAGGAAAAAATTGAAATTAATTAATATTTTCACTGATATTTAGTACGTAGTGAAAGTTAATAAAGTTGCATATTTTTCAATGCAGAAAGAATTTTTAGCTTTAACAGTGGCCGGCGTACGGGTATTGACTTCGATATTTTTTTAAGAAAAAAATGGTACGCTAATGGTTTTTTGCCAAATAAAAATTATTTTTGAATTCCCTGTGTTATAAAATCTGGGGCGGTTGGACTAGATGGTTTGAATATAAATATGTTAGCTCTAGTGTTTCCTGTTTGTTCTAAAGCTTTAACTCATATAATTAACTATTCGCTTGAAAAAGGGTTAGTTCCTAAAATTTGGTAAGCCGCATGCGTTAGGCCTCTTGCTAAAATTGATTCTTCGGAAGGACCTGATGATTATAGACCAATTAGTATCCTTCCAGTGTTACTACATTCAAGATAATTCCATCTACGAAGTTGGGGTTTCGAAAAAACCACAGCACCGTAACAACTCTGCTCGATGTTTGTGACGACTTCATAAGGGCAATAGATAATTCTAAAGTTACTACTGCTGTCATGATAGATCTAAGTAAGGCCTTTGATTGCCTCAACCATGAACTACTTTTTGCAAAATTTCATTATTTTGGCTTCTCCCATAGTTCGATTAATTGGTTTCGCAGTTATACTAAGTGACATATAAATCCGAACACCCAGTTTAAATGGTTTTATTTTAATAGAAGTTGGTGAATGTATTTATCTTACTGTAAATAACAAGTGAACAAATTTTCAGCCTTATCAGTTGGACATTCCGGTTTTTATACTGCTTTTTTTTAATTCACTAACGCTCTCAAAATGAATATTTCAGCCGCAGTAAAGAATCAACGTTTGCGGATTTTGGTTCTTGACATCCTTTACGATCGGTTACGATGCCTAGAGTACGGAGACGTGTACGATTTCGTCAACTTAGTGAGTTTGATAGGGGCCGTATAGTGGGACTTCGGGAAGCTGGACTTTCTTTTCGGGCAATTGCAGTTAGAGTGCAAAGAAGTGTAGACACTGGGGTTAGGTGTTTTCAGGCATGGCTTCGAGAAGGCCGTACGCAAAGAGCAAGGGGCACTGGACGCCGCCGTAGAACAACAGACCGTGAAGATCGCCGCCTAAGATTATTGGCCTTAAAGGACTGTTTCTCCACTACCAGGCCAAATGAATGGTTTGCAGAACACGGAAGACCTATTGGCATGCGAAGTGTTTACCGACGAATGAGAAGTTTTGGCTTGTTTTCATACCTGCCACACTGGGTCTTCCCTTTAACTCGAGAACACCGACGTAATCGCCTTGAGTGGTGCAGACAACGGTCACTCTGGGATCAGGAATGGAACAGTATTGTCTTTAGTGACGAGTCTCGATTTTGTTTAGGCATGCACGATGGTCGTGCCAGGGTTAGAAGGCGACGTGGTGAAAGGAGGAATCCACAGTTTTTTGTTGAAAGACATGTTCATCACACTGTTGGAGTTATGGTTTGGGGTGCTATAGCTTATGGTTCCAGGTCACCTTTAATCTTCATCAGAGGTAACATGAATGCGCAGCGTTATATCCACGAAGTTCTAGAACCCCATCTTTCACCCTATCTTGACACCCTGGCAGATCCAACTTTCCATCAAGATAATGCCCGACCACATGTTGCAAGAGTCACAATAGACTTCTTTCAACATAATGATGTCACATTGTTACCATGGCCACCAAGATCTCCCGACTTATCCCCAATTGAGCACGTGTGGGATTGCTCAATTTGCAACGTCCTTCTCAGACTCTAGAAGCACTTCGACAGGAGTTAGTGGTTGCCTGGAATGAGATACCACTGGAGGACATTGACCACCTGATCAGAAGCATGCCTAGGCGCGTTGGAGAATGCGTAGCACATCAGGGTGCATCCACACATTATTAAAGGTCAAAGGGCTTTAAAGCAGTGTAGTCATTTTGAGATTTTTATCATTTACTTATTATGCTTCATTAAGTAAATTTTATTAAAATAAAACCATTTAAACTGGGTGTTCGGATTTATATGTCACTTAGTATATTTTCATGAACGCATTCAGAAGGTAAAAATCGGAGACATCTTATCATCACAGGAGGGTACTGTCTCCAAAGGTGTACCTCAGGAGTCTATTCTTGGACCTATTCTGTTTTCTCTTTATGTAGCGGACTTAGATCAAGTCACTAAGTACTGCAAATTACATACCTACGCTGATGATACACAGATTTATCTGTCTTGCAACCCTGCTATGTACGTACACTAAAGCGAATGAGATGCTGTCTGAGGACTTAAATAGTATATGTGTGTGGTATAACAAACAAAGCTTATGCATTAACCCTAGAAAGTCGGCTATCATAACTATTAAATCTAAATTCAGAAAATTCAATAGTGAATTAATAAAGCTGTGTATAGGAGGTGATGAACTCGGTTCGCAATCACATTTGATGAGACCATGTGCTTCCATGATAATGTCACCAAAGCTGTTCAGGGTTCCTATGCCAAGTTGAAGTCAATTTATAGCTATAAAAATGTATTGTCCAAGCAGACCAAGGTTAAGTTGTGTGACTCCCTTATCCTAAGTAAACTTGAATAAGGGGACCTTGTCTATGGTCCGTATCTAATACAGAGCGAGGCATACAGACTTCAGAAAGTGCAAAACAGCTGCATAAGATTCAGTTTAGGTATTCAAAGGCGGGAGAGGGTATCTGATCATATTAAAAATATTCAATGGTTTACTATGCGACAAAGGTGGATACTGCATCTATTATCATTGATCCACAGTATTCTGATAAATAAAATGCCTATTTATTTGAAGAACAAGCTTACCATGAGATGTGATCATCACTCAGCGTACCTGCGTCTTGTACGATATATTCTTGACTTGCCTCGGCACCGAACAACCCAATTCAGAAAGAGATTTTCATATATGGCGCCCGATTTCTTCAATAAAGTACCTCAAGCTTTGAAAACTATCTGTGTCCAGCTTTAAAAGAAAAGTTAGGCTCTTTGTCTTTGATGAGATGTAGCATGTCTTTTATGTAATTTTATTTTTATATTTGTGCATGTTTTCTCACTTGTTACTTTTTATTTGTGTTTTGTTCGCGAATCTGTTGCTGTTTACTTTTAATTTTTATATCTTCTGCCATATACCTAATATTTTTTTTTTAAGTTACTTCTAAGCATGGTTTTTATTCTTCTACGTATTCTGTTGATGCACGTTTCTCTTTTGGTCATTATACCATGCATAGGCTACGATTCTGTAAAAAAATTTTTTTCTGCTTTGAATTTTCTTATTATTTTCTGTGTATTTTTTTGTATTTGCATGTACTCGAATTTTCTTTTAGCCCTGGTTGGTTCTGAAAAACAGCATGTGCTGATGTAACCCGCGAGGTAAAATAAAGGCCATTTATTATTATTATTATTATTATTATTATTATTATTATTATTATAAAGGGTTTTCAGCAAGTTTTTCTAAAAACTATCGACATACATTTAAACGCAATGGAAAATCACGCGGCAGTAGTACTTGAACACTTTGAATATGACAGGGGTATAGTAAATTCATCAGCAAGTATTTTCCAAATAAGAAAATGGGAAACATTAAGCATTACCACAATTTTCCTGGTACTTGTAGCTCAAAAGGTAATAGGTTTAGGACATTATGTTCATTCCTTTCCTTCCTAAAATGAGCTAAGGAATCATATCCTGTATTCCATCCATCAATTAAATTGCATTCAGTATACAAAGACTTTAGTTACGAGTGTTTACTTAAGACAAAAGATCATCTATAAAGAGTTGATGCTTAGAGAGAAACTGAACTAGATGCCAAAGAAATCACAAGTGCCTTGAAAAATAAACAATCATTTCTGCATGGAGGTCTGACATTTGCGCGTCAGCTCGTATAGAAAATAATTTTCTTTTTGAAAGTTTTTGTCTCGGTTATTGTGATGGAAAATTACACTTTCGAGGAAATGGCAGACATGTTTGCGAAGAAATAAGGAATAGACCTCGAATTTTAGCTCGAGTTTGTCGTTCAATGATTCGTCGAGTGAGAACGTGTACGGAAATGGATGGTGAACATTTCCAACATTTGTTGTAGTGTACTTTACGTCATCGGAAAAGTTGCAATAACACGCTTTCCTAGAGATTTTTTGGATTTTTTGTTTTCTAAGGCAAACGATTTTTATTTTTTTTTTCTCAAAAACGAAGTGAGATTCGAAAAAATACAACAGGCAAAGGAGTTGTATTTTTAGATGCTTAATCAAATAACGAATATTAAATTTACGAAAAAGGTAGTGGCGTATTTTTTTGCCAATAATATTCGCTGAGGTGCCCTCCCGGGACGCCACTAGACCAAATAATTTCAATCTAAGTAGTCCTTTAATACAATAAATAATATTGCCAAATTTCAACACAATCGAGCGAATATTTTTTAAGATAATAAAAAAAAATTGAATTGAAAACTCTGCATATTTGGACCCCTATTTATAGAAACCTTAATAAATATTTTCTAACAAAGAGTCACCCTCCAAAACATCTCCGTCAATTTTTCAAACACCCTGTATAGCCACGGAAACTTACTTGCAAAATGTCTAGGCATGACGTGTAGCTCTGCGCACACGCTTTTTTCGCTATAGAAACGCATAATGATGTTACCTATGCTACTATTTACACTTGAGAATAATGGAGTTTAAGGGAATGCAGAGCCAGTGAGACCAGTGTACAAGCCGCGAAAGGAAAGAACAACATTAGTGCTAAAATTCCTTAGAAAAGTTGCAGTATTTTAATCTTGTCTATTTTAATTCCAGAATATGTGTCATATATATTATGGGCAACACTGGCAGCCATCTATCCACCAACGTTAGTCTGAAAGAAGAACAATGGGCTAACTCGTACCAGAAAAGCCAACATTTACCATCGAAATTCGGCCAGCTGAGTCAGCAACACAGAGTGCTGCCAGAACAAGGCTTCCTGCCAAAATTAAAACACACCGACAATGGAGAAATCCTACAATCGGGCGGTACACTGACTGGAAGACAGAAGGCCATTTTAGAAAAGGTTGGTGAATCAATTACAGTACGATGTAGTCTCAATCAAAAACTAGTCCTAAATTGTTTCAGTACTTTTCAAGCAATATTATGAATCTACGTATTTAAGATTCTAAGCGTTATTAGAGGTCAGCATTCTTGATTGTGCTTCAAACTGACCAGAAAGTGAAAAAAAACTTTGAAAAACGAAGTTTGGAATTTTTAGAGCATTTAACTTCTCTGAAATTTTGCTTTGACTACTACTGAAAAATATCAGAATTTCATAAAGCATTGAAAATCAAAGTTTTAAGGATGATTTTAAATTTTTTATTTTCGATCATAACTTCACCGCCTAATGGACTAATTTCATTGGCATATATTGGCACTTTTTTTACACCCAAGCAGCCGCGCAGGCAGAAGTGTAAATGCCAGGGACCCCGTGAGCTTAAAGGAACATTTTTAATCCGATTTTTGAACTGCCTAATGTTAGTAGAACTGGAAAAAACGTCCTCATGCAGATTATTTCACAATCTCGATACCCTAGGGACAAAGGAGCGGTCGTACCGGCAAGTTCTTGATATATGGATGGAAGCCGAAGTCAGGCGGGTCTGTCTGGCAGGCACATCGCGCGGCGCCATCATGGAGGAGAGCTCTGAGGAGCAAACCCGTTGGCGCAGCGGTAGTTAAAGTTATAAAAATATAAAAGAGCTAATGATTATAGTCTCATGATTTCGTTATACACAGTACTCTTCAAATAGATCCCTCTAACGTTTTTTTTTAAAGAGCCAAGTTTGCAAGAAGACATTTGGGGTAATAGAATGATGCAGAAATGCTACTTGAAAGTAACATACATGACAAAAAACCATTGGCATACCATTTTTTTCTTAATAAATATCGAAGTCAATACCCGTAGGCACGCCACTGTTAAAGCTAAACATACAGTGAAATATCTGAAGCGGTTCTGAAAATATTAATTAATTTCCATTTTTTTCCTAAAACTTCAACACCCAGTTTTTGTAAGGGAAACATTTTTGGACCATAGTTTATAAAGCAAACTAACATTAATTTTTAATGTAGATTCCCACCCTTAAATACTCGCATATCATTAAGGAACACCTTGTATAACTCTAGAATATAATTACTTTTTCAAGATATAAAAAAAAGATAATATCGAAGACTGCAATTTTATTTGATGATGTAATTAATTAATCAGTTCTGTATTCTGCCTACTAAATATCGAATTCAGGTTAATAAGCATAATATAAAACTAGGAATTATTCCGATAGATAATTTGAAATAACTTTGGAAGACGCTCGAAAACGTACACGATGCAAAACGTCCATGTAACCACATATGTTCGCTTAAGGAATGTGTAATGCACACACAATGTTCCATTCCCATTCTTTGTCTCTTAATGACTTTTATATCTAGCAGGAGATGTGGAAAGTGACAAGCTGTTAACAAAGCAAACATCGTAAAGTAGATACGCACAATCCTACCTTCAAGTTTCTCCTGTTAGCGATTATTGTTAAGATTTTACGGGGCCACTGCATCCAGTGGTGCGTTAAAGAGGTTTTTTAAGCAGACAAGCGTTACGAGGACCGCAAGATTAATTTACGAAAAAAACTGGTACCAAATGTCAAGCAGATTGACTTAGTACTCCCCGAGCAATAAAAATCTATATAAAATTTTAGGCACACTTTTTAATCAAGCAGGGTGTTTGTTCCTTAATGGTATGCGAATATTTCAGGGTGTGAATCTACATGAACAATTAATGATAGTTTGCTATGGTCCAAAAATGTTTCCTTACAAAAACTCGGGGTGTTGAAGTTTTAGGAAAAAAATGGAAATTAATTATTATTTTCAGAACCGCTTCAGATATTTAACTGATATTTAGTACGTAGTGAAAGTTGATAAAGTTGCATATTTTTCAATGCAAAAATAATTTTTAGCTTTAACAGTGGCGTGCGTACGGGTATTGACTTCGATATTTTTTAAGAAAAAAATGGGATGCCAATGGTTTTTTGCAAAAAATTATTCTTGAATTCCCCGTTCAATTTAAAACAAATGATCTCTCTTGAATTGTTTTCCTTCGATGCGCCATTTTCCAATAAAAACCGGTCTATTATTTAACTTTAGGGGTAATAAACAACAGCTGGCAACAAATATCAATTTTTCATGTAGATTCACACCCTTAAATATAGTAAATATAATTTTTTTTAACATCGCGTAACTCAAAAAATGGAGCCATCAGGATACGTATGCCATTCGATAATGAATTTAAAGATCCACCATTTTTGTTTGCTCTTTTAAAAATTTGTCACTTTTCAATTACGCCGAGTTAGAACTTAGGGGATGATATAATCCAACGAAAACTATTACCTTATTTAGTTCGCCAGAGACAGACTAGCCATAAACGCAATAGATTGCTAATTTTCTTATACCTTTGTATGATAATGACTTGAAAATAATATTTTTGTTTTTGTTTCTGTTCCAACTACATGAATATAATTCAACCTGCGATTGTTTCAAGAAATAAATTCATGTTTGATTTTGATATAAGCCGTTTTGAAGAAAAAAATATCCGTGTTTTTTTATGACGGATCTGTTGTGAGAATTACCAAATTTTTAAAACTGCGGAACCATTATTTGTAAACGGTTCCGTAATTTATAAAACAAACTGTATCAAAATAATAAGGCTGTTCTCTAACCCCCTTCCCCCCTCGAGACGTGAACCCCCCCAAAAAAAAAACAAATGTTGAATCCGCCCTTGTTTTTGAATGTCAAATATGAGGAAATTTAAAATTTTTGAACCTTTGGAAAAAGCCTCTTGACTACGTCCAGAAATCACCAGAAACTCGAGAAACCACGAACAAATTGGGAGCGTCACGAATTGTTTCGTTTCTTACTCGACTGTCCTAGAAGAAGGGTTATGTTTCTACGCGTGGAGAATACTAAATTTTTATAATATCAAAATGTCGGATTTTAATTACAAATTCAACTTTGAAATTCCTATTTTACGGGATGCAGATTAAACGGCTTGTTGGACTTTGACATCAGCTGTCTCTAGATTTGCTTTGACGACTGATGCTGGGCATTCTGAAATTTTATTAAATCAAAATGGCTAATTTTAATCGAACAATCTGCTTTGAAATTCCTGTTCTACGGGCTACAACTTGAACGGCTTTATGGATTTTGACATAAGAGGTGTCACTAGGCTTGTCTTGACAGTGCTAATTACACTGGGTATGCTAAAACTTTATAAAATCAAAATGACTTGTCTGTACAGTGCAAATGACACTAGTAATGCTATAATTTTATCAAATTAAGATAACGGATTTTCTTTAAAATTACCACTTCGAAGTCTCTATTTCACAGGCTTAAGCGGCTTGACGAATTTTAACTTTGGAGGTGTCTCTATATTATTTTGATAGTGTGAGTGACACTGAAATTGTATATTATGTTTTTTATATGTTACCTGACATTTAAACCATGAAAAACTACATGTCACTCATTTCCGTTGGGCTATCTGACTGCCGGTCAGTTTGTCCGCTAATCCTTTGCCTATCTATAACTTGGAAGGTACCACTCAGACTTTGATGAAATTTTCACACACGGTTACTAACATGCCAAGGACGAAAAAGCTTTGTAGTTTCTGAACATTGATCCCATGGCGACGGAGCTAGGATCAAAAAAGGAGAAAATATAAATCGCTCAAATTTCTGTCTTTTTACGTTTTAAAGTCTGCTAGTCAAAGATTGTAGGGGTTTTAGTTGTACATCATAAGCTTCCAACATTTGCCCTTAAAACTAAGAATGATAATGTATTTTCAACATGCGCGTCCCTGGTCATACGAGTAACTGCATCGTGGTGCGACCGATGGGCGTTTCGTAGTCGGTGGTGGCTGCCGTGGTACCGTGGCTGACGAGCGACAAAGTTACTCATAGCAAAGTTCATTGGCGTTTGTCTTCGTGTAAAAGTGTAAATGTATACTCTAGGAGTATAAAACATTCCCAATCCTCTAGAAAGAATTTACCAAGATAGCGCCCAGCCCCATTTTTAAGCTGTCACTTTTACGTTAGTATAGTACCTATTTACGCATCAATTGTATCTCGCCGAATTTCAGTTCGCTATCTAGACTCGCTCAAATAAGATTGGATATTTTTGAAAAGCACTGTATCGGTTTTACAGATACTAAGAAATTTTCTAGACTCTCCATCATGATATTATAAACGCTCCTCTTAATCGCTCGACAACGTCGTATTTGCGAAAACATTCGGTAAAATTTTCAGGCAAGATTGATTCTGTGGGTACAGCTTTACGCTCAGCTTTTCCCACCAATCAAATGCCGATCGTTGACATCGACATTTTTAAGAGACGGCCACGTATTTTTTAGACATAATTTACAGCGTATACGTTCGAAGAGAATGCAACTTTCGTTTGCCGCTCCCATGGCGAAAATCTCATGGATGCCCTCCGCAGCGGCGTCGATGTTTTGTACATTCACTAATCGAATTACTTTCAACTGTTTTTACTTCCCACGTCTACTGCCGAGGAAGTATTGTAATCGCGTGAATTTCGAAAAAGACATATATCACGTTTATTGGATGTTATATGATGTGTACACCACGAAAAATCATGTCACTCACTGCCGTCTTTCGATCTGTCTGTACGCTAATGTTTGGCCCGTCTATAACTTGGAAAGTACCGGTCGGATTTCGATGAAATTTTCACACAAGGCTGCTACTACTACAAGGGCGCAAAAGCTTTATAGTTTCGAGCAACGGTCAAGTAGCAGGTGTGAAAAAGACCATTAACGGAAAAAATAAAAATCAAAACTTATTTTTTTGACATTATTTTCATATTGTTATGATTTTTAAAAAAAAATATGGTAAGAAATTGGAGGGTGGGGGTTGCAAGGTTCATCTCATTTTTTAATTTCAGTTATTTTATATGCTCCCAGGCTAGCTAGTTAATAATAACGATGTTAATCGACTTTATTTCTAGTAGTATTTAGTTTTACGCAACCAT